GACCGCCTTTAATTCCACCAAACCTAGTATGATTTTATCGTGTTTAGAATTCTTCAAAAAAAAAGTAGTGCATGTGTAAAAGTTTAATAAACCCGGATACTGTATCTCATTTAAACAGCATAATTATTGTTCGCAATCAAATTTTTGATTTGAAAAAATCTCGCACAGTCCTAACCGATTCGGTAATTATGTCATAATGCCTATCTAATACGATCCATTCTGTCTTTTCTCATAGTCATGGGCTATTTGCAAAATGATGCAAATTTGCGATAATTTTGCAGATGATTGGTAAAAATGCACAGAAAACTCGTGACAGGCGATAATTTTGTTATATACTGCAAATAAATAAAAAATGGGATAGGATATATCCATATCAAAAAAGATTGTTAAAAGTTTACATACCAATAACATTCAAGAGAATATCTCATAAAACAGCCTTAATTTCTTAAGTATTCCTTGGAGCTATTTTAACATTTTTGTATCGAGGATCCCTTGGAGCATGAGCTGTTAAAAGACGATCTAAAAGTTTGATTCTACTTCTGCTTCATCATCAAGTTTTTTTCCTCTTCTCAATGATATGATTACAGTATTAGTCATACATTTCACAATTCTTTGAAAGATTTTAAACCAGGTATAATCCGTTACGAACGAAGACCTAAATAAAAAATATGAACTATAGAAAACAAATTTTTTACATTATTAAACTTTAATGATTTATTAACTTGTTCAGATTGAACTATTTCATTATTTGTGTCAAATGAAGCCATACTATAAGATGGTTTTTTTATGATTTGTAGAATCCTATTGTAATCCAATACTGTAGCTGCGCTGTGATTACGTCACTGCACTTTTGGGGGCTGTCCTGGATGATCCTCGTAACAATGTCGGGCTGATCCAGAACAGTTAAATTTTGTGCACTCCGTTGTGAAGCATTTTATTATCCATAAACTAAAATCCAAAATTAATCCATCTTTTATAACTAATTCTCATCTATTTTCAGATTCTTTAATAATTCTTGAACACTGATGGCGAATCCTTGTAAGAATTTTGGTGATGCAAATATAGGAACTACGAATTTCCGATTTCGATGCCATGAATTATAATCCTTATTAAACAATAATCCTTCAGCAACACCAAATTTCAAAGTGAAGAAATTTGCATTCGTTCAAAAAACTTTGGAGTTGGTTTATAGAATTTTTCAAGGTATTTTGCATGGTTAGCAACTATTTGCCATTTATGGCCGCACCTGCTTTTTCAATATTTTTAATGTACTATGTATTAGGATTTATTTCAATCAATTATCAGCTATAAATAATAATCATAATTTATAAAATGCCAAGGATAGTTCTTCTATGATAACTGGCTAAAGAAGGTTCAGTAGACAATACAAACTTTCCGTTAAATTCTGTGGGAAAGTTAGTAATCAAACCCCAAACATAGTGTCCTGTATCTTCAGGATGGAAAGATCTTTCACGAAATTCTTTTATACTATATTTTTCTTGAAACGCTTTGAAATATGGTGCTATATTTTCGTCTTTTGAAATGATAGTGTCAAATGTTAAATATGTTAACATTACCTATTTAAAAAGAAGTTAATTTAAACCAACCACGTTTGCTATAGTTAGCTTCCAAAGACTCTGTGAATACTGGTCCTGGACAAATCGCGATTGTTTGAATTTCTTTTTCTTCTTCAGCCAAACATGCGGTTAACATATTTAAGGCGGCCTTCGAACTTTATAAACGATTGATTTGATGTAAATACATGCTTAATTTTGTATTAAAATTATGTTTCACTTACGTACGTGGCATAGGCTGAATTTCCCACTCTTGCTGTAACACTCGAGCTACTACTTATATTTATAACCTTTCCGTTTACTTCTTTTAAATGAGGTAAGGCCATTTGAATCCAATAAAATGCAGTGAAAATGTTGACTTCGTACATTCTAAAATATTTTATTTGTTATTGGTGAAATGTCAAATTTTTATTTTCGCGAATTCTTTTACCTTACAAATTTATCGAAATCCATGTTTGAGAGACGATCACCAACGTCAACTTCACTAAAAATACAGAAATAAATAATATAAATTAATAATATAAGCATGCAATTACAACCATACGTATTGTAAATGAACTCACGCAACATTATTAACAAGAGCGTCAATGCGACCGTAAAGTTCAATAGCTTTTTCGATAGTAGTTTTTGCCACATCTTTGTTTGATGCATCACCAACCACATAGTTAAAGGAATCTACAGAATAACCTCGTTTAATTACTTCATTTTTTAATGTTTCAAGTTTTTCACTACTTCTACTACAGCCAATAACCCGGGCTCCATTTTGGATAGCTACTAGAACAATCCCACTGCCAATACCAGCAGAAGCTCCTGTTACAACTAAAACAAGATTTTGGGTTGCCATTTTTCTTTTAATTTACGATCAACTCTCGATCATCGGTAATAGAAAGAGTACCAGGAATGGAATGCAATAAAATGCATATAGTAGTTGACTGTATATTTATATAAAGAGTTAAATGATGTGCGCAAATGCATTCGGCATTAAATCAAGTTTTCGATTGTTCTCAAACATCTTACAGTCAGGAGTTTTTCAAAATTGTGTAACGCAGATCATTTCGATTTATGGTAAAAGATCTGCAATTAGAATATT